AAAGTTGCAAGTTTTAAGACACCCGAAAGTTATGAAAATTACAAATAATCGCAACATAAATGTTCGCCTTTATATAAAATTTTTAAACACTCGTAATTTGTATATAATACATTATTTCTCCTATAAAATTTACGCTAAAATTACAGATTTCGAAATATACATACCGTTACCATCGTGAATCCACTTAACTGATCGTTTTTTTCTGTTCACGTACATAGATTGACCCTTACTTTTCATATTCTTTACGTCGCTTAACGAATGCGAAATTCGCCGAGCGAGTTCAACTTGATCCTCAACAGTTGGATGTGTCGGTGCATAAAAATACGAAGATGCAAACATCTTTCCTGCAACGAAGTTATCGACACGTTCCAATTAATTTACCGACACGATATTAGTAACTATTATAAATTATACGTAGATTTATGTAGGGCTGCATTTATACTTTCAGAGACCACCCTAGTCTATTTCAGTTAATCAAATTCGTACACATTTTTTTTTTAAGTTTATTGAAAATAAAAGTCGACATTTCTATAATAACTCATTTTAATAAATTATCGGTCTGTAGAAATTCCCGTCCATATCGACCTCTTGATGAATAGCAGGCCCTCATACATTTGGCGTTTCCGTTTTTCAGCGACCACGTGTTTTTATATTACGAATTTAATATTTAAAAATAAGTATTTTATTTTGCAACTATAACGTTTTTGTTGCTTGTGAGGAGAAAGGTGTTAAAATGTGGCCCCAGCTTGCGCCTAATGCGCCTTATTGTATTCGTATGAATAACCAATTATCAAATTTTTATTCGCAAATGAAATTTCACATTTAATTAATAACTTACTATTTTTCGATTGCATAATTCCCTGCGAATCAGAGGCAGGAGTGAGTAACTTTTGCAAGTTGACCGGTGCACTTTCATTGCTTTCCTTCAGAATAAAAGAAACTAATCAATTAACTTTATATGGAGAAAGTATTAAATTTTAGTATTAACGCGAAAATTTGATATTATTTCGTTTATAATTTGTTGTGAAATATTACAATTACAAAACAATTGCTCGTGTTTTTGTTGTCTATAATAAACAACTAAACATAAAAAGCAATAAACCGAATATCTTAATAATTTGTGAAGATAATTTGACAACATAATTATGCGTTAAAAACACTAAAAGTTCAATATTTTTTTTGTCGTTATAACTGTTAATTAAATATTTAATACGAATCATTGTCTGAATGTTAACGTTTTTACTATTATTTGAGCCAATCAGAAGATAAAATGATTAACTCCACTTTTTGGAATTCTTCCAATTTTAATATCAAATCACATGTTTGGTGTTTAACTCTTCATTAATAAAAACAATTGAATAAATTCAATTTGATGAAGTTAGTCACTAAACGTACCTACAGTTTTTTAATATTGACGGAAAATTCTATTTTCATTACGGTGATTTAACTTCCTTTTAATGCAATTTTCTGTTATTAAATGAAGATAATAAAAATGTATCGACATTTCTCAGTTTTCAAAATTAATATTTCGTTAGTATAGTTCTGTTGGTAACTAACAGATAAAAATGAATCGTTTAATAACAATATATTTTTCGTAATAACAGTACAAATAAGAGAAATATTATTTTCAACGTATATCTATATTTCGAAATGATTAAAGAAGTATATGTTATACTACAGCAATGCATTTTGGAAAAATGATTTTGTTCAAATTTATTTGCAGACACTTTTATCGTATATCGATATATTAGATCCCGATAAATCGTTTAAAATTGTAATTCACTTTCTACAATGACAAACATATAAAAATTCACTAATTTCTAATTAGTAGTTTATAGAATTATGAACATTTGTTCATTTACAAAGCATCAGCGAAAGGAATTCGAAAATACTATAAGCTTGTAATATTTAGGAAAAATTTCATTTAACCCTGTATAATTAATAAAAGCAAACGTTAAATTTGAAAGCTTGTAAAATATAAAAAAAAAATCACGAAATTGTCTTCGAAAATTATTGTTAATGAAACGTTCAATAAAATACTTTATTTACTTGTAGAAATTGTAATTTCAATATTTCATATGGAATTAAATATTTTTACTAATTTTCATTTACAAATACACGCGGTGAAGTAAATAAAGCTCACTTTCGATAAATTATGCATTAATTGTAATAGAGTGGTGTTAAGTAGGCAAGGTCGCGTAAATATACTGATAAATATAAACTTGGCTCTGTAGATCAAGGGAATTGTTTCTGTACCATAAGTTAGAAGTAATGACACTAAACCTGATATGTATCATCTATATTTATGAAAACGTACGTTTAATATTTAATTAAAGATCTACTTCATCTATCTTGTTAACATTAACAAAAATATATTACTATATTTATAAACAATTAGAAATAACGTTACAATTTTTCCAAATGGTTATTCTTCGAAAAATTCAAATTTAACCTAATTTCTTCCTTTAAATGGAACAATTTTTTAACGAAAAATTCCTTTTGTATTTTAAATATTTTATTACCATCAATGGTAATTACTTTTATAAAAATCTTACATTTACACTTATATAAATATCGATAATAAACGCGATATAATTTTTCATAACTCAACTACTACAATTACTTTGTTGTTCATTGAAAACAACTAATTTTTTAACTGAATACATTAAAAATTTTACTTTGTACGAAAAGAGAAAAGTAAAGAATTCAATATAAACGATGTATTTGCTAGTTACTTTGATTTTGTCGGATTTTAAATAAAAAAATATACAATTAACAAAAGCAAACGTTAAACGCAATTTTCCTTAAATATCAACGTGCTTGTAGTATTTTCGACTTCGTTTCGCTGTTGTTTTGTAAATCGAGAAATTTTCATAATTCCACAAACAGCTAGATTACGAATCAGTGAATTTTCATATGTTCACCAGTGATAAAAAGTAACTATAAAATACAAAGTAAATTATTAAATAAAATACTCACCATATCGAAATGTAATATTTTCGAAGTGAGATGCTCAAGGAAATTCCTCTTCACGGGATCGTGCCTATCAGAGGGCTTGAAACCGCGTGAATGTATTACAACATTGTCCGCGGAAACACTTCGTTGCAGATAATTCTTTTCTGGTGTATTACTATAGCTCAAGTTGTACTTATACTCTGCATCCTTCGAATTTTCGGTCACGACACTATACGAACTATAGGTGTTGCTCAAAACGTTCCGCTTCGTGTTATTGTGTCTGCCGAAATGGTATTTATTTAGTCTACATGTACGTTTTCGTGTAAACCGTGCGATGTTTTTAATATTGTAGTTGTATTTACGTTTAAAGAATCACGGAAATTAACGCGAGTGAATTTATGTTAGCCTGATACCCTTTAACATACATAGTTACATCATTCGAAGAATTATATAGTTAAACTTATAATCTGAAAGCGTTGAAGTAAGCATTAAAAAAGTGCATTATCAATTTTTTAGTAATGGGAAGTTACAATTACATTTAAAAAGATAAGGAGACATTACGAGTAATTTCGTCAATGTTGAAAATAATTGAAACAAAATCAGATGTATAACTGTTTTTCTGTTTATCATTATATATTTAAAACGAACGTAACGCTTTTTGGTTGAAAATATTGCTTAATCTGAAACATCAATATATTTGATTGATGCTTCGAATTAATCGAAATTCAACATATTATAATTTAACTACATATGTGTTCACAAAAAAAGGAAGAAGAAGAGCGAAACTGTGGGAAAAAAGAAATGAAAGAATATTCCGTGAAACGTACTATACGAATGGTAAAAATTTATCTCGATGAATTGAACCCTTCGAAAATATTCTACTTTATTTATTCTGTAAAAAGATAATGAATTGAACTTTACCTAACATCTTCTCGAAATGTTCTATTAATACGTTGTTAATGGTATGTAGCTACTGTTACTGATTTAATATGAAGCTTGAATAAAACGTTATAATTAACATGTAGAAGTGTAAAAGAAAGTATTGATATCAGCTGCAGCGTGAATAAATCGGATTTTTTTATCGGAGGAAATTGGTTCTCTTCCAAGCAGTCAATTAATTCCGTGTTGCAGTATTGGCAGCGGTACAATGAGGTTCTGTGCAAAAGAAATGCTAAATTTATCTGTTGTAACGTAATACGCAGTAACAGTTTGAGCGGTTGCGTTCGGAGTATACCTACTACCAGTGCTGTATTTATTAGAAACCAAAGTTATAAAGTTAATCGTAAACGTAAAACGAAGTGATTGTAGAAAAGTGAATGAAGTAATATTTGTTAACGTTAAAACGAATTATAAGGTAAGCCTTGAAAAAAAATTTGTGTACACTTTTATAAGTAAAATAGTTTTGCAGAAGATACATATACAAACGCAAATATAAACAAGAATTTTATTAATATTAATTTTGCTAACCATACCGGTGCAGCTAAAATAAAATATAATTTTCCTTTTTGAATTTAACAGAATTATCCACCTTAAATCATATTTTACATATATATTAATTTTAAGCGATATTAGTTCCGATTTGAATATTTCCTATAATCACGATACCATCGAAGGTAATTGAAAATAATATTTACATTTCCATGAAACGCATTTATGATGAACTTTATTACCATAAGAAAATCTGTAGTAATCTACGAAATTTTTAGAGATCTCTCACATCTCTTACAACGTAAGACAATTTTATTGTATCAACATTTCAGCTACAAGCAACGTGAATGATATGTTGCTTTAAATAGATTATTCGGCAGAAGTTCGAATATTCTAAAGCTGAACGAATTGCCCGGAAAAACATTGGAAATGATCGAATGCTGTACTAATGCTAATTATAACAAATTTCTATTGCTAACCGTGCAAAATTGTTTTTAGTTAGACATGATTTTTTTCCATAATTAATGCTACCACCCTGATTTCAAAAATAACATATTTCCAATGAATACAAAAATCTTTCCTTACAAATATCTGAAATGAAACACTGTAATCCATTATAATGAATATTGCATAATTAGAATATTTTTCTCATTACCAAGAATACCAAAAAAATTATCAACGATTAGCATAACAGTGAGATAAGTCTAAATTTCTTTAGTCTCAAGAGGGTGTATTTAATGATGCACTGCCTGTTTTAGTCGTTGAAGCATCGCATAATTAAGCATAGCTTGATTGTAACTATGTTTTCGCTGCAAGGAATAACGCAAAACTTTCAGAAATGATATTAATTCGGTAACAAAAAGAAAGCTAATTTTGTCCTAATGATTTTGTTTTTCTTTAATTTTCTTTCGAAATGAAAGAAGAAAATAAAAGTTTACTTATCGAACGATGCCCTCCTCATTTCGACGTTTTACGCACAGTTCGCTCGTTTCTCTCCTTCCTTATTTTACGACGGTTTTCCCCTTCGATATAGTTTTTTTTCGCAAATTTACGTAACCCGCGAGCGTACTATACTCCGAATGAAGTGGTCCGTACGGAAAGTGGACGAATCTCACGACGAAGGCTCCCTCGCCATGAGAGACAAAATCGCATCTTACAAAATGTTCTCTGGCACGCACGGACGTGGCCGGTTAGGCACAAGAGGTGGCCGACTAGGCACACTCAACCGCGGCAACTCCGTCAGCGCGGCACTTAGTAGCTAGCGGTCATCAGTATCGGCTCATACCCTGTACTACTTCATTCAAGACTTATGCAGAGAAACCGAACGAAAAATTTGATGTTACATTGAACAAGCTACTGTAAATTTCTTACAATCATGACAGTATATTTAATGCTCCAGCTACATCATTCAATAAACATTTGTTTTTTCTTTTGTTTTGCGATTCACCTACATACGTAACTGAATCCTCTTCCAACGGAGTCGTCCAAACGCTCAATCGCTCAAAGGATAGTTTATTCAAGGAAGTTTATTCAAGCTTCTTTCGCCACTTGTACCTAGTTTGTTTTCAATAATTATAAGCACTATTATTTTTCTTACTTCAAAATCTTTTTTCTTATCTGTAACGTTCACTTGAATGAATTACTGTACGACGAGCACACGGTTGCTTTATAATAGCGCCTAACCATCGCTATACCAACTCCTCGACTGCCTTGAGTCGTCTTCGGTAAAAATAGACTATCAGAAAGCGACACCTCAGAAATCGGTGGCTGCTGCTTTACACGACATAAGTTATAGCACCCATTCAATGCCGTCACAACTTGTTGCGATTCTTCCTAAACAAGTTTCTCATTTTATCCTAATAAAGTAGCAATGACATAATAATATAAAAATTAAAGTTGTGCCATATCTGATATAAACAATACAATCCTGTTTTTAATTGAACTGATGGTACAGTAGATATTAAATGCTTATTTAGTAATGAAAAACAATAAAATATACACTTAACAAACTTAAAAATTATATGTATTTGAATAAATACAAATTCATTGTTTTTAGTTATAGATTGATAATTGCAATTTCATTATTTAGAAATACAACAATTTGTATTATAAAACATGTTGAGTTATAAAAAATGTTATTTTATTTATAGAATTTAAACTGATGTCTATTTATTTCTGTACATATGTAAAAATAAATTACTTCTAATCCCAATCGTCACTTTTCATGTCTTGCATGATATCAGTGTCTTCTGTGGGTAAATCAATCGCATTAATATTTTTCTTAATTTTCAATTTCTTCTTTTTTGGCTTAGAACGTTTCCCGGGTTTTTCCTTATCAGATTTTTTTGTCAATTCAAAATCACTTTCTTCACTACTTTCTTCCATACTTCCTTCGCTTGATTTTCTGTTTTTTAACTTTCTTATTGTTGGTAGATTATATTCAGCTATATCTTCATTTTTTGTAAGTAATTTAAGTTTCTGAGATTGATGAATTTTGACCCACGATTCATAAAATCTTGATAGCGATGTATCTTCTGTTTTTATCTTGTTCTCCCAATTCTTTATCTCCGACATATTTTTTATATCAAATACATTTTTACTACGTTCTGTCTCAATATATTTTTTATTTTCTTCAATTTTTTCCAATAGCTGTTTAATCTTTCTAGAATAGTTTGCAATACGACATTTCTTTAAAAATGCCTTTAACTAGAAATAGAAATAAATAAATACATAAATGCAGGCTCCACCATTATTCATATTGAAATATTATACTGATGAAGCATAATACTTATTAAAATAGTATAAAAGTTTCAATCGACATGTTAGAATTAATACTTTCAACATTATGACTTATAAATGTTCTTATTTGAAACAAGTAAGATATTATAAATTTGACAGCAATAATCTTTCGCGGTCCGAGTATCTCACAAAATGAGCCACTAGCAAATCCAACTTATTTAAGGACATTAATAATTTCCACACACGGAAACTAAATGTGCTTAAAAAATCATTTTATAACACAAACAAAATATAAACACTATAACGGCATACATGAGAGTTATGGACAGTTATTCATCTTGACATCAGAAAATAATTCTGTAACAAAATATAATGTAATCTCTATTTAACGTTAATTTATTTTGATACGTATCCGGAAGACATATTTGGACCACCAAAGATTAAAGCAATTGCTTACGTGATATTTATTCATCTGTATACAACTGTCAATCTTTTAATCTCATTTCAATTAATATTCTGTATAGAGAAGAAATAATACAAAACTTTCGTAATACGAGTATCTATGTCTTGTTTTTTTTCTTACTTTCATTGGAAAATAATATTTATGATTCACAACATTCTAGTTAACTAAATATTTTTTACTTATTTTAATAAACCCTGTATATTTTCAAAATTTCTAACACTTTTTTATTATCTAATATGCTCAATTATATTTGCATTAATATTAAGACATTAAAAAGACATTAATTTATACTGTTCGTATACATATTAAAAACATTATATCATGTAAAAGATTTCATATTTAATGAATTTGATGTTATGTAATTAACCTACCTGTATTATGCATGGTATATATAAATCTGGAAAGTATATTGTGTGGCTATCTTTCGCAGCACTTTCTAAAATAAGTTTGTATATAGAATCAATTACATTATCTTTAAAACCATTTTCCTGCATTTGGGACTTAGACATCCTCAAAATACAAGTGAAAGGTACTGGTTTCATTGATACTGCCTTATGTTTCTTATTAAAATAATAAGAATT